TACATAAATATAGGTGTACAGAAATACTAATGCTCCTCCCGTTTATTTTATTTGGCTACATCTTCTATTAGAAATATATATTTATATATTTAGAATATCCCTTAAGACTACATGGTCTTAAGTACAGAGGGAGGTACTATATACCTGGTGCAGATGGGAAGCAGTGGTTCTGGTATTCATGATTATATGTGGCCACTTGGTATTCCTGACCACAGTCCTGTCTCCAGCCCATGGACTAGCGCTTCTGCAGCTCAGAAGTTTCTGTAGGTGTTTTTTGAAACCCACCATGGAGGTGTTCGGGTGGACTAAGCATCCTCTGGGCTCTTCTCTTGCTTACTGACACTGTTCAAGGTACTATCTGTCGTACCACCCAAATGCAGCTCTCACAAACCCAAGTTTTCCATGGTGTTGGTGATCTCATACACTGCACTGACCTTGACCAAGGCTATGAAGATGCTCGTTAGTCCTGTCAACTCTTCCACTGTAAGTCCCAAGAGAGAAGGAGCAGGCCACTATGCCAAGGAAGGCTCTTGCTAACCACGGGGCCTGTACAAGCCCCAAGCTGGAAGCGGTTCCAGGACAAATACAGCAGTGGAGTGGCTGCTCCTTTAGTTACTTTAAAGTGACTTTAGTTACTGTAAAATTTTGGTATCTTTAATATCCTACTGCAAATAGGAGATACGTCTATGCAGGGATTACTAGCATTACAACGAGGATGTATGTATTAAAGTTTGCTTGTGCACCAAGTATTCAGCTTATCCCAAACAGTTATTTTTACCATCTCTGTTAAGAACAAAGTTTTTTATAAATACACAGGGAAAATTGTTAGGAGAGCATTGCATTTCTGTACGATGTTTGACTGTCTCTCATTCGCACTGCTTCTCAACCCACTCCCCTGCTTTATCCTGCATTCTCCATGGTAATAGCACCCTCCATAGAAGCCCAGAAAATGTCTGTTGTAAGTGAAGTTATTGTCTCTTTAATGACCCCAGGAATATCCGCTGCATTTAATGTATTGGCTTGGGAAATCTGTTTTGCCCACCCTAAATGGCTGTCTGTCATAAATATATCTGCTCAGAGTGATGTGCATTATATAAATAAAACTGTACAGACAGAATGCTTGTCAATCAGCAAGAAAGGCTCTACACCCACTATCCAGGGCATATATACTTTGTAAGCAGTGGTTTCCAACAGATAAATGTAATCAAGGTTTATATGCTCACAGAAGCCAACAGGATGGGATTGTTTCACTCGAAAGATCAGAAGAAAATTGTAACTAATGTTGTGGAAAATTACTTTGATATTGCTTTCTCAGTACAGCATCACAATTAGGTAGCAATGTGAAGCACAGGGAAAGAATAAATGAATAGTAACAAATCAACACAAACAGCTACTGTCAGGAGTACTTTGCTCAGTGAAAGTAATGTAAGCATTACTTAAAGTTTTATGACTGTGGATTTTATACTGGTTTAAGTAGTACATCAAGGTCTCACCATCATGCTTGCTTGGACTAAAACAATCAAGGGCAATTTCCGGAACAGACAGATAAAACTAAAGTACCAGAGTATTTTTATTAATCTTGTTTCATAAGTTGTACCATCTTAAATTAAAGATGACTGAATGTACTAACAGTGAAAAATGCCCTTTTGGACAATGCAAAACTCTCCTATGGTGCTTTTCAGTGGAAAATAAGCATTATCGACTTTTCTACAGCTTTCCTGATGAGATTCCAGTGCCTGCAAATGCACTTTGCTACATAGAAACTACATGGGAAATGCAAAACCAAAGGCTAATCCAATAAAACTCTGCCATGCAGAATCTGTTGTCCTAAGTAGCTTAATGACACATGCATTTGTTCAATTCTATTGAGGGAGCAATCAGACAAGCAAATTATAGCAATATCCAATCTCCATTAGAAACAGACCCCTCTGAGGAGAAGCACTGCAGAGCGGAAGGGAAGCATCCTTTTCGGCACACCAAAAATGCCTCTTGTGACTGACAGATTTTCACAGGAGGCTGTCTGGCAATGAAATATGTCTACTCTCTTTTTAATGAAATGAATGGCTATTTTTTCCTGTGCCCTTTAAGCTGCCTAATATCTTTTAGTGATAACTGGCATCATTTTCAGAAGCAGTGGAGGTGAGGAGTTTCTGAGTCCACTGGGAGCTGAAAGCACTTAACACACATGAAAATCAGCCAAACAGAAATAAGAGTAATTGTATTGAGCACCTTTTACTCCAGGGTACAGTCTGCTTCCTATTAACATAAATTGTAATTGAATGTGAGAATCAAGCAATTGATTACACACCTTTGGCAGTAACAGCATTGTTGGGATGTTCATTTTTTAGCTGTGCAGAACCCTGCCCCCAGCAGCAGAACACATCATGGGGTGAGTTTTCCTCATGGGAGTGCAGCAGGGAGGGACAAGGGGAGGGCCTTGCTTCAAAGTTGCTTGTACTTAAATGTGCTTGGCTGTCCCATTCACCAGTTAGATCCTTCTCAAATATCACCTCACTGTAAAGCAGTCTTTTCAAGAGGTTTCTGAGTGAGAGGACAGAGGTAATACAGGTCAAGATGAGGGACCAGTAATAAAAAGATAGAGATTGCACTGTTTTTGAGGTACCACTAGAAATTCCTTCTCCTTCAGGAGCAAAGATTTATTTTTTTCAATGTAAAGTTACACATTTAATGATGCACCAAAGTCCTGCCTGTATTTGCTGCCCACTTGTCTTTCCCCTCACTCCCAATCCACTGGCAATTGCAGGTGACTCTAAGATGGACTGGAGTCCCAAAGATAAAAACTTTTCCCACCATTAATGCAAGTTGGTGGCTGGGCAGAGGGAAGAAACCCAAGCTAGTGACCCTGCTGAGGAAGAGAATGTACACCGAGCTCAGAAATTACCATTCTGCTTGGCTCTTGTGCTTTCTGTCTTGCTGTATGCTCAGACACAAGGATGTTGGAAGTGTTGGGGGAGGAGAATTAGGTGACCAAGGGAAGGGAAACTTCAGAGATTGCAAGAAGTTAAAAGCAACCAGAAAGGAGATGATGGGAGAGAAAGGGAACAGGATAAAAGTCTTTAGGAAAAGCAGTGAAGCCTGTTCTCAGAACAGAATAGCTTTTGTGCAGAAACATGATTTAAGCCCTAGGGACTGTCTGATCAGGAGTGCTACTGCGTCTTAAAAAAGGGATTTGACCCACCATCACACACAAATCCAGCTGGGGCAATTGAAGCATCACCTGCCTCTACCAGGGCTTTCCAGCCCAGCAGGCTAACATGGGCTTTAAGGTAATAACCTTTTAAAGGAGAAAAGGGGAAACAATCCTTTGGAGTTTGGGCCCCTACAGTTACTGAAGGTGATCTGCTGATGGTTTGATTACTTCGGATCTAAATCCTGCTTGTTAGGGCACAACCACGGCATATCGAGTATGTGGCTAACAACAATTTAAAGGTGGGTTTGTTCTCAGCATAAAACCAAACCACATTTACTAGACGAAAAGGCAGGCCCTGGACAGTAGAGGTCCAGGGCTACGCCTCAACAGTAGAGGTGCCTCCGTGATTTCTCTCTCACATGCATTTTGTGCTATCACAGATGCACCGGTGAACTTGTATGGTAAATTTAGGAGGTATCATTTCTGATTTTTTCTTTATTTTGGGGTTACTGTACAGACTTCATAGCAGTATTGATTCCAAATGAATATGCACAGGCTTGAATGTGGCCAGTACTGTCAGTTTTAATCTATAAGCTCTTTTGCTTCTAAATATACAAAAACAAATTAAAAAAGCACCGAAGTAACTGTTTAGTTCTCTGCTTTCCATGGCACGCTGATTACTCATTACATCTACAGTTTCAGCTGAGTGCCTGCTTTCAAGATCGGTGTGCAGTTGGACTAAATAATGAAAATATTAAAGTATAGATTGTTCAGTGACATGGAAATAAGGAATTAACAAACCAGGACACAAAAATTAGCACTTAATTAGCACATAATGTAACCATTTAAGAGTTCTCTGTGTTAGGGTTCAGCTCCTTTAAAGATGTTAATAATATTTTATCTTTAAAATATACACAGTCACATTGACTGTGCAATGAAGACATCAATTAAATAGACTTTTTGTAAAGTACGCATTTAGTCAAAGGAGAATTTCAGTGCATATATGAGCAAACACAATGACCAAACCTCTGAGCATAAGGGTATTATTATGGGCTGAAGTAACTGCACTGACATTTGTCTAGGCTCTAAACCAGCCTTCATTACAGCCTTAGTCAAAGAGAAAGCGACTTTAAGTAAATCAAGAGAAGTCTTGTGCATTTTCACACTTCTTGCATGCCCCTTGTTAAAAGGAAACCACTGTTTCAGTCCAGTTTTCCAGCTCTCACAGTAATGTGCTCTTTTTGCTGTTTAAAGTTAGTAACCTGAGAAGATGGCATGCTTATGAATAAAACTATGAGATGTTTAATGAAAGTTATGCACATTAAAGAAATACATCCTCAAGTATTTTAAGTTTGTCATGTTACTTATTTTATGCATTTTTTATTTTGCATCTCTATGACACTGAATATTATATACAAGGGAAGGTGGATTGTATTTGTAGGAGTTGAACTTCGGGCAAAATTTCTCATTTCCAGATTTACAGTGGTATAACTGGCAGCAGAAGTGGGCCTCAACTTTAGCAGACAATTAACTCCATCCAGCTGGACCCAATACACCTTGGCAACAATTCCCGCATAATCAGTCAGTTGTTTCTTGGAACTGTTTTATTTACAAACTTTTTTTTTTTTTTATACCACCACAACAAAACCAAAGTGTTAATTAATCTCCAAATAGCTTTTGTTTAAAAAAAAAGAATACATACCTGTGTTCAGGAAACCTCTGTGAAATATGTAAAATGTGTTAAGGACATAAGTATAAAATGTTGAACGTGAAAGAGCTAGTGAATCAGACAGAAATAGGAATGCTAACCTGGTGTCTGCTGATGAACTATTTCTTCTGGATCCTGCAGGTGAATGAAGACAATGAGCCCAGCTGCTCCAAACAGCAAGATGAAGGAGAACATACATGTCAGCCTCATAATTATTGTTCTCAGATCAATCCAGTTTTGACCCAGGAAAAGAACTGCACACAATCTCCAGGGCGCTCTTCAGTCATAGTTTCATCCTCTCATCTGAAGTCTGGCATAATATTGCCTACAAAAGGTAAAACACAAACCCCTAAAACTTAACACATGCAACATTTATTTTTTTGAGGTATATTAGTTGATTTAAGTCCTTGTTTAGATCAAGTAACTGATTTCTCTAGTATTTCCTTGGTAAAGTTAATTGCAGTCATCCAGTCAGTTTCTGCCCCATTGGTTTGTCTTTAACTATATGTCACCGTTTTAACATGTTGAAAATGTGATGTAGAATATCATTAAAAAAGCGTAACTTGGGAAAAATGGTCATGCCATGGCTGTAATTTAAAGACAAAACCCTTGTAATTGTTCTCTTTCATCGAGTGAATCACGTGTCACTTTTTATTTTCCACTGATGATATGAAAACTATAAAGTGAGATAATATGGAGAAAAAGACCACACGAGCAGCTCCTTGCATGTCAAACACGGGGAGAGTGATGAACCTGCTTCAGCCTTAAGAAAAATAGCCGAACTAGAGTGGTACACCTCACATACATCACTATGCAGCCTGTTGAAAAAGCTCTGTGGGAGTGTTGTTTTCTAAGGGAAATGCTGGTCACAGTGCTTGGGCCACCTTTCACTGGCTTTCACAAAGCATTAGCAAGCAGAGCGCAGGGAGCAAGCTGGCTGTCTGCAGTAGCACTGGACACTGGAGCTGCTGCCTCTCCTCCCTAGGGAGCTCTGAGCAGATTTCTGGGCTCAGTGCTGCAATTCTCACTGCTGGCTTTTACGCTTGCAGTTATGTGCCATCCCAGGGAAACAGCAGCAGCGCTAGTCCCAGATGGGCACCGTGTATGTGATTCTAAACCCCTGACTGAGCACAGTCCTAAGGCAAATATTTCACTTTAAGCACACAAATAGTCCCACTGGAACCAATGTCCATTCTGGTAAGACACTAAGAAGTGAATAAATGAAGGAACGGGAACCATAGAGAAAAACCATTAGCAGTGCCACATGGCTTTAATAATTAAAAGAAATGCTTTTCCACACAAGTTTGCTGCGCCTGCATTTTTTGGTAACATATAAGAAGGTCCATTAGAGCACAGGCATTGGAACTTGTTCCTGATAAACATAGTCAGATTTCTTATCAGCAAATTATTCAACACAAGGACCCAGGCTGGAAACCACCAACAGATCACAGCACTGGCCATCACTTCACTTTTCTTGTATTTCTAATTGAAAATGCGAGCTGGTGAGAAGGTTTATGAAAGTGGTCTTTATTTACAAAAGAGGTCTTGGATACAGAGACAGCGTTATATTAGTTTGCAGAGATGATGAAAGATGATGATTCAAAGTAATTATTCCAGGAAAAGTCTTTAAAGATTTCTTTATATTCCTGGAATATTTAGTGTTAGAGGCAACTTGTTTGCTTTTCATGGTTTCCATGGCTGGTTTTCAATTCTCTGCAGGGTATTGATTTTCTAAATTTCTAAAATGCACCAAAGAAGGATACCATTTGTGCAGTCCCAATGAAGTAATTTCTGTGACTCTGACTGATAAGGTTATTTAGTGGCAACTATATTTATTCTGTGTGTAAAGCAGCCAGAGGTAAGCTCCAGGCCAGGAACATTGGTGGATGCATGTATCTTAAATGAAGGCTAAGCACTAAGTTATTTTTATACATAGGCAAGTGCAGCTTTACAGTCTGTTAAAAATTATGGCAGACATTAACTGAGTATTTTTATTATTTTTTCCCTTAAACCTTTCTCATCCTTTTAAAAGTAAAAACAAAACAAAATTATGTTAAGCAAAGCTGAATCTGTATGGGTCCTTGTGCAATTCCATCTATGTGTTGTGTGCATGTCTATGGATGGATGTTTGTGGGTTTTTTTTGCACATACATTTTATATATATGTATGTTTTCAGGATCGAGTACTAACTCTAAAGCCCCAGTGGAGCCAGATTAGGGAAGGAGGATTAGGCTTCAGAGCAGTCGTGTTACAGTTCCAACCACTGTTGCTGTAAGCAAGCAATTAGGGAACATGAACAACTTTGCACTGAGTTTACTACAGAATGTGTTCACACTAAATAGCCAGTAGTTGGAATAAATGAGTATTTAGGACCACATCCATCTGTGGCAAGGCTGGTACAACACCAAAATCAGACCATCATTTTGTAATACTGTACAGTCAGACCATTCTAAGAATGATATTTAGTTCCCTAATATAAATATTTCCCATTTTCTAACCTACTTATGCTCTCTGCATACCCATGGGGAGGAGAATGCTACTACCCCAGTTTCACAGGAATGAAATGAGGTAAATTTCTTGCCTGAGATTATACAGGAAGGCTGTGATGGAGTGAGAATTGAAGGGTCTCCCAGCCCTGAGCTGGAGTCGGCAGTGCTGCCCTTCTCTGCTGGGAATGCCCAGGCAGCTGGTGAGGGAGAGCTGGCAAGAAATGCATGACCATAATTTGAGAGAGAGCAGCTTAAAAAATCCATTCCCAAATAACAAGGTTTTTGTATTTGCTTAATGCTGAGTTTTAAGGTCGTTTTTTGAATGAATTATACCCTTGAGCAAATATGGGTTTCTCAAACAATTATTATTAGCTTAAAATGCTAAACCATTTTCCCTTTTTGATTTGTTGAAATGTTTTTGTTTGAAGTAAAGGCAGCATCAAGAAAGAAGGTCCCTAGCCAGTTTTTAATTAGCGCAAGAAATGCTAGAGTAGCCGTTTTTAACAGTTATAATGTTTACATTATTCCGTATCCTATAGGACATCTGTGCTGAGCATCACATAGTCTTTTAGGTTAGACATTGCAGTGTCTCAGGGACACCTCACAATGCAGCAGTAATGAAGGCTAGATGAAAGCATATATTGACAGAAGAAAAGGCCACATGTGATTACATAACTCCAAAGCAAGACTACTGTTATTCCCTGGTCACAAATCTTTGCAAGGACTGAATGTAGAGGGAGTCCAGGAAGGAAGATGAAAGAGAGCCTCCTTCCCCTCAACAAAATTAATACCTCTCAACAAAACACAAACTTCAGAGATCTTTAAATTATGGGACTAGGCTTTTCCCATCTCTATTCTCCTGTAATTATTTTTTCCATCAGTTGATTTTAATTAATGTGTCCTAGGAGAGCAAACCTGCTGAATGGGAACTACTGTTTTATAGATGCTGAGTGTGTGCTTCCCAAGCCCTGCCAGGCTGGGCCGTGAGCTGCAGGAGCAGAGAAACTCTGAAAACAGTTGGCACTGACTAATACATGTGAATGAAGTATCCTCATTAAGAAACATTTGAAAATATTGTTTGTAGTTAAACTGCATCATTTAAAAGATGGATTAGATTAAAAGAAAAAAAGTGAGGAGAAATCTTAGTGGAGCATCAGCTAACAGTTTCTTCAGGCAATGCTTCCTCAGGCATACGAGGCAGAGGCATGCTGCACGTGGCAGCTCAGGACTGGTGCACACAGAGCCCATCGTCCGGGAGGCACAATTTTGTGCAAATCCATAGCCTTCAATTTCTACTTTGGATTTGTAGTCACATACTTTAACTATGCTCCTTGCAGTGGGCAATAAGATGTTTTTATAATTCTGATTAGTATTACTGGGAGTGCAAGAAGATAAGGTTGCAAGCAGCTTCCAATCAAAACTCCATTTTCAGCTGCCCTGAACTCACAAAACAGATGGAGAATGGTTCACCAAGATGTGCCATAATGAATTGAAACATCTAACTTTTAATTTATTCTTCCTTTTTACATTTCTGCAGTGGATAAAACTCCTAGGTATCAATATGTGTTTTTCTAAGGCTTCCCATTACAATGGTATGTGAATGCTCTGCCCTTGAAAGCAGCAGAGCTATGTGTATGTGCAGATAATAATTAGCACTCAGGTAGCACTTTCCAGTTCAAAGACATTCATTAATCACCACAGCACTCCTAAGAATTGTGAGGTGAGGAAGTATTAGCATTGGGTAGGAGAAGAGGTGCTGCATCATTAAAGCAAACCTCCTCAGGAAAAAAGCTGTACAGTTTTAGGTAAAAAATTTGTTTGTGGAAAACAGTCGAATATTTTAGCAAAATTTTCAGACATCATAGCTTTTATTTGCAAACATAGAAGCAGGACTAATTCCCCGCTGCTCCCAGGCAGGCAGAGCTGAATGCCTATTGGAAAGACACTGCAAACCAACGTGATGAGAGAGATGGTTTGCATTAGCTGTTTAGTTGGAGTTGTGCTACTGCAGTGTCTACTGCCGAGCCCGTCTGAACAGGAGTTACCTGCAGCTCCTTGGGGAAACGTCTGGCTCAGAGAAGGAGAGCCTCAGCCTTCTGACAAAGCAACTTTTGTATAGACAAAAGTTAAACTGAACTTGTTAATTTAAATTTTCTGAGAAGAGTGACACAGAAAGCAGTGCTTTGGAAGTCTGCTGTTTTTGCAGTTGCCCTCTGGAAGCCTAGTGGGTGAACATTTTTACCACGAGCAATTTGACATTATGGTAGTGGTCAGTCCAAGAAAGGCACAGAGAGACAGTTTTCTGCAAATGTCCCTGTTTAATTCCTCATACGAGATGTGATAGCCAGCCTGCACTTGGGATTGTATCTGATAGCACACAGCTGTTTGTGCGTTCATGAGTTCTGTGGACATTACACTTTCTTTCTTGTCTACCAACAGGTCTGTGTGAAGAATGACATTGGCAAGGTAATAATCTAGGGGCATGATTTACTTCTTTAGGTAGAAATGCAGGGGATTGTCTTTGGTCCATTTAGAAGAGGATCTTTCCCTAATAGGGGCCACAAGTTGATGCTTTGAAGTACAAAAACCTTGCAGGGCAAAGCGGTAGGGTAACTTGCTCCCAAGAAGAGGTCTGTTGATCCTTACTGGAGGTCACCTTTTTATGTGCGTAGTGTATCTTAGACTGACTGTTCTAGGAAAACATGATAGGGCCTGAACCATTCACAGCGCTACAAATGTTTAAACTTTTAACATTTAAAAAATGTTTAAAAAGTGTTTCAAGAGCTCAGTCACTCAGTGAGAACAGGCAGAATTAGCCCGCAGATGGAAGAAATTGAGCAAAGACGAGAAGAGAAGAGGCTGTTTTCTGATGTGGCACCAGGGGAAGGACCAAGGTGGGGCAGAGACCCTGTAAGGTTCCTGCCCACTGCAGGACATGTCCGTACTCTCCCTTCTGGGGCTCTGCTCTGAGCTGCTGATACAGCTCCAAGTCAATCAAGGAAAGCAAACTAATGCCAATCACAAGTTTACATTGCCATAGACATCAGCAAGTCAACAAACTACCCAAGTTGTTTGCAAACATCTACTGATTGCTAAATTGGACAATTACAAGTCACCTATGAATCAATGTAAATGTCTAGTTTGCACGTACACAATACGCATCATTTCTTGTGCTGTGCAGGCTGCAACAACCAGTTCCTTTAGCTGATAGCAGGCTGCTGATTTAGAGCAGTGTCAGAGCCTGCCGTGTATTCAAAGTAGAGAGAGAGATGTTTATAAAGGCAGAAATATTTTTATAAAACAATCTTTACGAAGTAGAAATAAATACTAGATGTTAAATTTCAGCATTCCTCCAGCTGATCTTAGAGGGTTTAACTGAGAGCTGTTGGCAGCTGTGATGGGTTTTTGTCTTCTGCTGTACTCTGTTTTGTGTGTTCTGAAAGGGGGCCATAATGGAGCACTCACTTCATGTGTTATTAAGCTAATTTTAGTTAGATTGTGTAATATAGTTAGAGGCTGGGATAGTGACAGGGGGCAATTAGCTGAATGGGAAATATCAAAATACTAGTACTACAAGAATATTATAAAAAGATTTGCTAGAGAAATGATCATTTCTAGATGCATTAGCTGTGTTCCTATGAGCTGTGTGAACAACTGCTGCTTCTCGATCTGAAGCCGAGCCAAGGATGCATTTCCTTATGCAGAGCACTTACAGAGACAAAAGGCCTTCAAGCACCGGGCACTAAGTTTCCCTGTCACTCAAGCATCCACTCTCTGCTTTACTCCTGACTCCAACATCGGGCTTGTCATGACATTTGCAGAACAAAAATAATAATAATAAAAATAATAAAAGGATGTAAAAACATTACTCATATTCATATAGGTAAAACTAACTTTTTATAGCAGTTTTACAAATGCAGGCATGGTACTTGAGGCGTAGATATTAAAAGTCATATTATTCTGTAGCTGTCAGCACTTCTTCTTGGAAATAGGAAATGCAAATGAATCCCAAGTATTATGCCCCAAATCCTCTAACTCTTTCAGCACAGAAAGAAATAAGAAACTATTAATTCTGTGGCTGCTTTCATTCACCAAACATTCATCTTTTGGTGCTGGATTTTCTGTCGCTGTAGTTGCTGATGTACCAATAGGACAAATGCTTTGATTTGCCCCAAGACTGGGAAAAGACAAAATTGTTTCCGGCTGATATTTTTAATCAACACACTTTAGTTTTGCTTGGCGTGCTTCAACTTTGTATGTTATTACATTTGTCTTTGAGTAACAAAAACCAAATATTTTGAAGACAGATGAAATAAGAAATTTTAAGTTTAATTTCTTTAAAACGGCTCTGGCAAGTTCTTGGAAATCAGAACTGAGGTACTTGGGCAGAGAGAAGTGCCTCAGCATTCCCACCTCTGTGCCATAGCAGCCTCTCTCCAAAGTCTGATGGTGAGCCCTCACCCATGTACATGTAGCTCTGTTGGGCACGGTCTGAGCAGCTGGCCAGGGGTGACAGATGCACAGAGCAATTTAGCAGTTTGAATTTAAAGAAGAGAAAGCGTAACTCGCCTCGTGTGATTTCATGCAGCATTACTTTAAGCTCTCAGTTTTCCTAAGAACCACTTGCAGAGGCAGGAATTGGCACTCGGGTGAATCAGACCTACTGACCTGCCCGATGAGCTGGCACCTCTTCTTCTCCACAGCTTCATTAGTGTCTCCCATGTCCCAGCCCTCCTGAACGCACACACTGAGCCGACCACCTAAATTACATCCCACCCTGCACACACCATCAGTGTTGTGGGAAATCAGGCAGAACTTACTGCCTTTTAACAGCTCTATTCCCCAGTCTCTGATGTCATTACGTGTCTCAGCTTTCAGCATCTCCTCCAATTATGCAAAATGGGGATTTCAAGATATGAAGAGAATCCTGAAAATTGCAGGGCCCCTTTTTGCTCATATATACATGAACCCATATTCTGCGAAAAGAGGGAAAAATTGGGTTCAGAAGGATTTCTCTTCTTCGGGTAAAAACTTACTTTGTCATCTACCAGTAGATCCAGTTCTATTCTGTTATGTGTGCCAGTTTTGTCCTTTCAACGTGTGCACCACTAGAAGGTATGCTAGCCCATGTAACATGCTAAAATCTGAATTTGTCATAACTGCAAAAAGCTACAAAATTGTTTTATGTGGCTGAAGTCAGAGCAGTAGTGCATGACCCCTTTTTCCCATTCTGAACCCCCTGGCAAAGCTGCTCCTCTCATCTCCATCACACGTACAATTTAAGACCAAAGACCAAAAGGGACAGCACTCAGTAAACAACCAAAATAATCCTTTCAAAGTCGAGAAGTTTTCATTCCTATCTTTCTGGGTGCAAATCATAGCAGGAGTCATGTGTTACTAATCCCCTCAGTACTGCAGTAGGTCTGTAGCAAGCTAATACACACACCTCTCCGAGGTCCTTGAGGGGTTATAATGCTATTCCTAAGCTAAAATATAATCTCCAAAGCAGTTTGAATTGGAAATAAAAAAAGTCTTCTTTACTTTGTTTCAAATTAACATCTCACAGGAATTGTACAGTGGCAGTGCAAATAGTGAGTGTAAATAACGAATTTGTCTGGCTTTCTTCTGCACTGGTATGGAAAGGACACGGCGCTGCAGATCCCTGCAGCCGGGCCCCCAGCCCTGCCAGCAAGGTTTGTAGGGCTGTTGTCCCTCCTAAAGCGTTTCATTACAGAAAACTCCACTGAATGCAATGAACTCTGTTCTGAAATACAAAGGAAAGGTGCCCAGGCTTTCAGATACCCACTTGGTTCTAGGCAGAGCTCAGTCAGAATGCTTCCCTCTCCCAATACTTGCCACTTCTATTTAAAGCAACTATCACACTTTTCTAATTTTTTTTTTAGATGATTGCATCATTATATGGCAGTGATGGTTGCACCCCTTGAAATACCTTTCTTCAGTTGTCCTGAAGTTGTTTCATTTGTCTCCTGTATAGGTTTCCTGGCTACTCTGAATAAAAACAACTTCTCCCAGAAGATCTGGAGCAACTGGAGTGAGCTGTACTTCCAGAGGTAGGTCACCAAACAAGTGACTGCCTAGCTAGATTCTCTCCTTTATGTCTGTATGAAGCAAATGTACATTGGAGTTTGCTTTTATAAATTATTTTTTCTGTTCAGTTTTAAATGTGTTAAGGTTGGAAAGAGGACAGAGTTTAAAGATTTTTTGAGCTTTTTTATATCTGTATATATGGACACATAAAGATTATGTTCCTAACCATTGGGTAAAAATTCTATTCACGTGCCAAACTGCTTGACATCATGAGATTTTAAATAGTTTTTACAACAAGGATTATGAGTGGTTTCATGTATGTGTGTGGGGCCCTGTCCTCCAGCATTATAGCTTATCTCTGTGCCATGTGCATCGTGGTTCACGTAATGTAGTGTGGAGGTTCGTGATTCCCAAATGTTATTTCCTTTTCCTAAAACTATATGGAGAGTCTTTGTCTAGGAGTCATAAGCAAGCAAAAAAACCCTGAGGAAAACTGTAAAATGGTCCCCGTAAGCTGGGAATTAAAAACCTTTGTCACATGTGAGGGTGGTTTTAATTCTGCACTTGAGGAAACAACAGGCAACAAAAATTCTGCAAAAGCAGAAAGAAAACTACCTCTTAGCTCATACTGTGTCTGTTTCATTGTGATGCTACTATGGTTACTTCAGGAAGACGAAAATAGCCCTCATAACCTTGAAACGGAACATTTTGCTGTGGCGGTTGAGTGGGTTCCTTTATTGACTCAAGCAATTTTCGTAACTGTGTACATCTGATTGTTTTCACCTAATACTAGCTCTCTTAATCCTTCTAGCCACGATGACTAATTTGTTTCTTATTGAAATTTTACAAATGCTTTCTCCCTAATGAGAGATCACCATCTGTTGAGTCAAGGTACTTTTTCACTTGGACGATGTCAGTATATCAGAGATAAGTTATTTCCTGTTGTTCTTGATTTGGGCAGTTGAAATGCAGCAGCTAATTGAAAGGAGATACTCTGTAAGTAGGTCTAGTTGGAAAACAATGTCTTTTCCTTCTCTAAAATGCCTCTGTTACATTTTATTTCCATCTGAAAATCTTCTCCCAGGATACACAGTAAAGCAAACTGAAATAAATATTTGCATTTTATTTTGAAGTGCAAATTTCTAAATGAAATAGATTTTTTGTTTGGAATTCAGTTGTCATGTTATGGCAGTGTATAAAGGGAAGCTGCTCTGACTGCTGGAGGATTATTTGGCGTGGGTGTACACAGACGTAACTGTTACATGAGACAGTCTGCATAGGCTGAGAGGTCTGAAACAGGGATTGAACCCCCCCAGCTTTGATGCCATGTGTGCCTAAAGGGAAAAAATAAAAAAATAAAAAGCCCTGTTGCCAGCTGAGAGATCTCTTAGGCATATATTAGGGAATTAAAATATCTGGGGGCTTTGTCGTCGCTTAAAGAGGAGTGAATTGTTGTGGTGTAATGACAAGTGAGGGAAAATACAAGTGGAAGCTGGTGTGTAATAAGGATTTGCAAAGAGTCAAGAGCTCGGATGTGTTTAGGAGGTTCCTGGGGGATGCAAGCCAAGTGTCTGGGGTAGATAGTGCCTGCTCAAAGGCAGCACGAAGGTATGTTTATCAGTATTGCATGGGAGCATTTACATAGGGTGATGAGTATTTGCCCTAGCCTTGCACTGCTTGGCTTCTGCAAGTTTCGCATTTCACCAAGGTCAGCTCTGGGGAAGGTGTTCAATACCACCTGCAGCGTTAGCACGGCCATGCTCTGAGAGATGGAGTGTGTGTAGCTGCTAACAGAGGCAGACATGGTCTGTGCTCAGAAACGTGACTGTTTCATTATGTGCTGCATATAGGAACTGGAGGTCTGTGTGAGAAAAGAGGTGCATCCTCATTTTTTCTTTTAATTCCCTTTCTCCCCCTTCTGGCAATGCATAGATCCCATCAGCTCTTCCCAGATCGTCATTCACATGGAAACTGGGAAGACACTTGGACCACAGAAGAGGTATTTTGATAAGTATTTTCAAAACCAGGAAGGTCTCTCTGAACCTGGTGCCCTTTTAAGTCTTTCCAACCAAAGGAGACATGCACACAGGTGTCTGGGGACGTGCGAGCTGCTGGTTCCTCATGGGGTGTGATTGCATCCCCCTCCTCCCAACCACCCGGTGCAGAGGCTGAGAGATGCACAAGACACATCCATCCCCAGCTCCGTGGCCCCGTGGCCCCTTCTCCCAGCAGTACCAAAAAAAAAAAAAAAACAAACAAAAAAAAACACACAACAAAGTAAGAGCAAGTTGGACTCTTCCAGTGTTGTGGTTCATCAAACAGCCCCAGGAGCCCCCAGCCCCTCCTGGCTGAGTGGCAGTGCGGGGGTGTAGAGGGTAGCAAGGCACAGCCAGGGCATGGCACAGAAATGCACCTGCACTTGGTGGGGCTGCAGCTGGGTTCCCACCACCCCATCTCCTGCCACGCCAGGAAGGGTTCCTGGAAGCATAAGCTCCTGGGCAGAAAGAGAGAAGTGTCCAGACCGTCCTGTGCCACAATGTATGATCAGGAGCTACTGAGCACCTCGGCACAGGTACAGCTCTCACCTCCTGTCGGTTCAGCACAAGGCTGTCTGGTAAAGGACCGCAGGTCTCCATTTACACAGGGGAGCAGAGACCAGCATGGTGGTCGCTGTACAAGCAGCTGGGACACCCACATGGGATCCACAGTGCTTCCCTATCTGTATGCTACTGCGCTCCACAATTTCAGGCACTCCAAATTTCAGAGTCAGAGAAAACTTGTGGATTTTAGAGCAACTACTCAGCCTTTTAAACAGAAGAGGATTTTCAATAGTGAGCTGTAATGAGAATCCTGAGTAGGCATGAACTCTCTTTAAAATCAGTTCTGTGATGGTAGTAGAGTGAGAGAATATTACTGTTTGGTTTGCTGTTATTCAATTATTTTTAAGCACCTTTTGTCAGATTTGTAATAAGAACAGATAAGGCAAACTAGCTGCTAGGCATACTTTGGTGCTGTAAATATCGGAGATCATTAAATGTCACTGGGAAAGTTCCCGTTGTTACATTGATACTCCATAGGAATGGATATCCTCTATCGACTGGGTGCATTTCACATCAGACGCGGTTTGTAACTTCATCTGCATTCAGCGAGGGGAAGGTAAACAGAGCCTCAAAACTCCTCTCCCTTCCTCCGCCTTCTTGCTATAATACAGAGAGGCATAATGATGCCTGCTCTAGACAATGGAACTATTTGTCAAAAGTAGTTGTCACACCAAGGAAAAAAATGTCTTCTGGTATTCCCCTCCACAGTGCCAATGCTCTGGCTGTGCGATTGAGATCCTAACCAGTGTGTTAGGGCTGGTGAATGAGGCTCAGCTAACTAAACAGGAAAAATAATATAAAATGGGGTTCTTTGCCCGTCTGGTGTGTTTGCCCTGTACCAGGCAGGGTTACTGTAGTGCCAAGGCCAGCATTGGCATCTCTTGTTCCTGTGCATGCTGCATCTCCTCTGGGTTGACACCAACCACAAGTTCTGGCTGGGGGCTGGGGCTGTTACTGCAGGCAGCAATATCTGCTTTCATTACTGAAATGGAGGGATTTGCATCCAAAGAACCTGACTGATGCTCAAAGAAATGGATGTTAGTTTTCTGATGCCATTAACATTTAATGGTTCTGTTAGAGGTACCAGAAGAATTAGGTTTTAACTGTAGATCTTGTGGTAATGTCAAAAAGTAAAGGAAGGCTGAGACTACATCAGTGCAGGGATCGCTGGCCTGACTAAGGCTCTGTAAGACTAATTTCAGAGAGATTCTGCACACACCACAGCATCAGTCTTTGTCCTGACACCCGTAATCCACAACTAAGTAATTCTTGTTTTCTTGCTGGTTTGTTTTTACAGTTCCCATTAATGTAATGTTTCTGTGCCTCACAGTCTTCATTCAATGTTTCCTCTTCAGCACTTGTCTGAAGGAAAGAAGTAATTGCATTGATTTTTATTTTATTGTTTTACATAAGGATGCATTTTTGCACAGAGAGGAGTTACATGATTTGCATGAGATCATTTAGGCTGTTTCTTACAAAAGCGATAGCTGATGCTGGTTTTCTTATGCCATGGATAAAGGCTGTAATCATGAATTCGTTAGCGATAGATAAAATTAAACTAATATTTTATACATTTTTTCCTGAAGACTTGTTCAAGTTTTTTTCTTTTAAATACAAAACCCATATGGAATAAAATGTGTATCTGAGGGGTATTTCCTGCTAGTAATATTACTAGGGTAGCGTCATATATAATCTTAATTCCATGAAGCTTGAAGAAACTTGTATAAAAAAAAAAAAGAAGAAGAAGAAGAATTAAAAAGAAATGCTATTGTAATGCAAAAGGTGACCTGTGAAAAGTCAAAAGGCTTTAGTCAAGGGACTGGGGGTGCTGCCATATGCTGTAGATCTTGTTCCACACCTGCAGCCTGCTGAGCACTGCAGCTTTCGTCGCAATTAAGGGAGGTCTGATTCTTCTCCGTTCTGCACAGTGTTTGGCAGACTGCTTAGCTTTGGATTTCATTGGTTGCATCATTGTAATATCCCTTTCAGGCTTCAGTTTTCTGATGATAGCACATCACTAAATGGTTTTCTTGCTCAGTCATACCTCACTTTACTGGGGTTGCTTGGGGAAACTGCACAGTGTGCAGCCCTACAGCTCTGCGGCTGGAGCTCCTGGGGCTGTGCGAATATGTTGTCCTACGTGCTCAGTTTGATTAAAAAATTAAAAACCTGCATTTTCAGATCAAGGGTTTCATTAAGCTTTCATTAAACTTGGATGGCAGCAGCTAGTGGTTACAAACAGAAGTTCCCAGCAGATAGTTCCAGAGAGGCTGAGCTTCTCTGGTTTGCCCACAGTGGGAGTTATCCCCAGGATAAACTAGATCAACTATGCTTAACCTGTGAGAAAAGATGCTTAGCAAATCCGTCCACAGAAATAGCCAGCAACTCAGGTTCAATGGTCTCCTAGGACTTTTAAAGAATTGACCATTTTAATAATAATATCTGCTTTTATCACCTTGCAATTATTTCATGATGAAGAAGCCTGGTGTGGCCCAGCCAGGAGCACTGAGGCACACGCGGAGCCAAGCAGTCTTCAGGCTGCCCACAGTGGGCTGACAACAAGTCTGCCATTCAGATCAGGATGATAAAGAGACAAGGTTTAACTCCTGGTTCCATCGGGCTGTTTTGATATTGATGTCCACACATCCAGAAAGCAACCTCCAACCTAGCACCTGATGGCTTCTTAAATCTTTCACAAAAATTCCCTTCCAAGCCACAAGGCTGTACATTTACAAACTGATTATGCTCCCCTACCCTCAACTCTGGTGCTGGCAAAATCCTCCAAAGCTTAATTCTGACTATTTGCATTTCCTGAGCCATCCATGAGTACTCCATGGTTTCGCTTCATACACTTTCAAGAAGCCTGTCACAGACACGGTGTTCTCCAGTGCAGCAGATGGGAACATTTACATTTGGTGCTCAGAGGCTCTGCTTTACTCCCGTTCTCGGGAATTAACCTTGCCTAATCTCTGTGAGCACTTTTCACCGTGAGCCATCCCACCACTGGAAGAAACTGCTAAGCTCGCAGTGTGTAAATATTTGTATTAAGCTATCCACATTTAAAATCAAGACCTTAAAAATAAAATAGTTACTGACCTTTCAGCTCATTTATAATTAAAACCAGTTCTAATGTTGTGCATATAAATAATAGATAGCTGTTTTCACAGATCAATGCCTTCTCCTGCTTTATAAGAAACATTTTTAAGTAAAATTATTGTGCTTTTAAGTTTAATAGGAAAATTTGATGTGTTAGCAACTATGGGTTGATCTCTGTACATTTTTCAATTGTAAATTGCACTTTAAAAATGCAAACAATTATTAATATTGATTTGGACTAAAACAATATTGAATTTCAATATATTTCTGGCTCTTTTATGAATTACCCTGCGCAGCCAGTGTGATTATGATGAAAGAGTATTTGCACGCTCAATTTCTTTTCAGCAAGAAACCTTGAAGAGTGCTAGTTGTGTTCAGGCTGATAATGATAAACCCATACATTCAAGGAAAATAAGACTACCTCAAAATCTCAACTGAAGCATAGTGAATGAATATTTCATCCTATCCATGCACTTCTTCTATCATGCTAGCTAACTTTGGTTATGAGCAAATATTGAGAATTTGTTAGAATACAGCTCCCTGCCTGAGCCCTCTGTTTTGGCTGTGCATCACACGCAGTTATAAAATGATGTAAATCCATCACTGCAATTTCCTGCGACTAAGTAAAGAGAGGAATATATTCATGGCCTCCACTGCTCTAACACGCCAATTTATTTAAGTGCCATTAAAACCATGTTTCTATTCTGTGGCTGGAACAAACATTTCCTGGCTCTGCTGGCCGAGGTTTTGAGCTTTTCCTCAGAACTCAGCTGTAATCTGAAGGCTGTTTGCTAATTGCTTTCGGCGGCATCCCAGCATCTCCCTGGAGGCCTGATCCCAGGGACAGCCCTTCCCCACGCGCTGCCACGGCCAGCGAGGTCGCTCCAGCCGAGTGCCCTCATTAGAGGCCCGGAGGAGTGGGTGGCACAGTGTCCTGCCGAGAGCAGAGGTATGTGGGCAGAGCTGTCTGGAAAACAGAGAGCCTCGCCTCCAGGGAAACGAGATGTGTATTGAATCAGGACAAAATGTCAAAGTGAGATTTTTTTGTAGAAATGGATTTTCAGAAAAAAATTAATTTATTGGGACCTCAAGTGGAGTTCTCGTTGTGCTTGGCTGCTCCCTGCATGGATGCTATGCAGAAAACCGCTGAGGGTTCCCAGGCCCATGGAGGGCTCTGATTCTCCCTCTTCACCCTCTTCCCCTTCCCTCATGTGTTGGAAGGGTGCAGACTGGGGCTCAACTTCCAGCAGCTCCCTAGGAAGCAGCTGCAAAATTCACTTTTTGCCAGAAGTGCAATTGCGAAGCATTTCTCAGTGCAGGCAGCAGCTGGATGAGCCATCATTTTTATCCCTCCAGTGAAAAATATGTTTTTCCAAACTTTCTATTTCCACACAGAAAACTTCAGATCTGTGAAAAGGGCATTTTTTCACTGAAAATCCTTCTGCTGGAGAATTCCCCAACCAGCTCTTTTTCTGGAATTTACTCCCACATAGACTGAAAATAACCCAAACTTGGTGGCTTTCCAGTCATGTTACAAAAGCTAATGTTTTGCTAGAGTCTCTGGTGACAGCTGAGGTGTGCTGCTTCTGCTAAGAAAGGGATAGGTAGGGAGCCAGCAAGTGGCTGCAGGGCTGGTCTGAGTGCTGCTGGGTCTTAATTCAATTGTGTGTAATGAATGATTAATAACATTAAGGCACTTAACCTTGAATAGGGTTGTAATTATCTTGATTATAAAATAAAATCCAGAAAGCATTTATGGCATTTGCTATTTTTAAACCTTGTTGTTTAGAAGAGCATGATTCAAGAATTTTGCACACTTGAAATCAGTACAGTAGAGAAATGAAATGAAGCGTGCTAGTCCTTGCTGGTACCTGGCAGAGGTGTTCTCTAGTATGATTTCACCCTTCTGTGAGTAGAGTAGTGGGTCTGTAACAGCAAATGCCTTGTGTTCCTTCATTTCATGAGTAATCTTGTTTCACAGTTTTATGCACATATTCCCATAAAATTATGGTCACCTCTCTGTTTTTTTCACACTGAAATAGCATTGTGGCTTTGATTAGAGCCAGTCAATTTTCTTTGCCAAAATGGCTTCTTAACAAAGCGGTCCCTTTCAGAAAACCTCATCTCTGCTCATAATTTTGTGATGTAAAAGGTGTGTTCCTTGGAACGGCTTTCTGTGTCCTGTACTGCCAATCCTAACACCCTGGATATTACTATAATTTTACAATATAAACATGTTGTATGATACATAGTACATCAATAAAAAAATCCTCTTGTGGACTTCTGTCTCCAGGGGAAAAAAAATGGAGCTGTATGTTTGATGTGGTACACACAAGTCATGGTGCCTCTCAACAGACAGAAGTTCAGTTTTTAAGAAAGAAGGAAACTTTTCCTGTTAATTTTTCCTTAGGTTAATCCAAGGCCTCCCTAGTGGCTATATACTCTCTGGCTAGATAACTTTGGATATACCACAGATGTTTTACCTTCCAATCCCAACAACTGCAACTCAAAGCTAATTCTGCATTGCCTGAGAACAGGCATAATTTTGTAGCTTCTGAGGATCCCCCACAGGGTGTTTTAATTGAGCAAGAGAAAGCGTGTTAGCTGTCAGGTGATGAGGTCTATTACACTATAAGGATCTACTCCTAATACCTGTCCATCCTGGCTTTACTGTGTTATATTTCTTGAGAAATATAACACAGTAAATCATCGTCCTGGTTTTAGATAAGGAATTTTAGCATTCTCCATCCTTACTCTGGTTTGTGTCACCCAGGGGATGTTTCCTGACACCCTAAGCTTGTGCCAAAATTCTCGCTCAAGTTCACTGCAAACAACTTGTGGCTCCTTAGCACCTTTCTCTCCAGACCGATACCTGCTCATCCTAGCAAGAGGGAAATATCCAGAGGCCGTATCTATCTGTTAGTAATTATTGTATGTTCTGCTGCTTCATCAGATGACAACTCATGGTTTACAGTGTGACTCCAGTGGAGAAAAAACACTGTTGGATTTGAGGAATATATACTTCTTTGAGTCAAATCAGGCTGCACATTATTTCTATCCCACTTTCTATTAGCAGTGCGTGGGCTGATCACTAGTAGTAAGCTGTGGTTAGAACAGAACTGAAGCTTTGCTGCTCTGGGTGTTACATGTTGCTGTAAAAGTTTAATCTAACGAACTAGAGAAGCCATTAGAGGAACTCCTGTGGTTCCCGATAGCAATGTTTCAGCTCTGCAGCCCTCTTCGGGGCTAGCAATGACTGGAGTTTATGTACATTCACCATGGTGAAAATTACAGCTTAGCCCATACACTAACTTTCTGTGTGGACCACAGTGTTAGAGCCCCAAAATACCCTGGTATAACTGTGGGTTAAGTGCACCATTTATTCTGGACTTTCCCACCTTTCAACCAGCCCACTCC